ATGTGAAGGTGAATTAATCAACATGACTCGAGCGTGGGACAAAGAAAAATTCTGAGTCCCCGACAGGAATCGAACCCATGACCTCCCGAACACCTTGCTCTCCATGAGTTCTCGTAGCTCAGTGGATAGAGCGCCCGTCCGGTTTTCGGGAGGTCATGGGTCCGATTCCTGTCGGGGACTCAGAATTTTTCTTTGTCCCACGCTCGTGTCATGTTGATTAATCCACCTTCATATACATGCAACTTTGGGAAGATCTATGAGTCACAGATCAATTGCGAATTGCACTCCGGTTAACCTAAATACACTGAACACCTCGATTAGCCTAAATCAAATAGCTTTTCAGTCAACCAAAACAGTATTTGGGATGACTCTTTCTTTTATCTATAGGTGTATATTTTATGAATATAATTTGGCGCCAGTTACTGCATGACGGGGCCATTGAATGCTTATTGTTTCCACGAATTTTCTGTGACAATCAGTAGCAGGTTGTGTTATAACTATTTTAAGGTAAATAAGGTTGTGGAGGAACTGCTATCGTAAAACCCCATGTTTGAGTTACTTAGGTGACAATCGAAGTCTCTACAGGATACTGAGGTGACCCCAGTCTAGTTTTTACAATAAACCTTTTGTTATTCGACAAGATGACTCCGACAACCGGTAGAGATCGTTGTAAAAACGAAACAATACCTAGTGCTGTTTCCTACTTTCACATTATGCTTCTAGCAATTTAACTTTAAACTCATAATTCCATATGTTCAACTGTTGTTGACTTAAAATAGCTCAAACTGTTTGCAAGCAAAACACAATCATATAAAACAACGTCAGATCCCTGGGCACCAGATATTGTGTAATCACCATTATTTGAATTTAAATCAAGCGCTACAAATTATTCTATTTTTAAAATTTATTTTAATGTGTTAACATTATGTTTAGGTCTCCTTGCAAACGTTTTGTTTTGTCTTCTTTTTTTTTTACTACGCTGAAACATGTCAAAACCGTTGTCCGCGTATGCGGCCCATGTCAAGGTCATATTGCATTTCGCTCCAGGAATCCGCGCTCTGGTTAATTATTAACTTTAAAAAAATTCACACTCATTATATTAAGGTCGGTTTAGTATGTCTGAATGGACTTTACAGATCAGTTGCAATGTCTTCTACTTTGAACCTGTGATAAAAAAAACACTCCTGTATCCCCAAAATGTTTGCTCGGCATAATTTCATGCACCAACGTCAAAGTTATTACCACTTTGATGTACCCGTAACAAACTATAGTTATGTTTAGTTCATTTGCTCGAGCAATGATTCTTGTTCTTGTTTTCACCGCACACTTGGTTAATCAAGCAGCGAGTGGAGTTTTCATCGATGGCTCCAAAGCCTTGAAGCGAGATGCAGAAGAAGGTGTGGCCTACGCTAACTTTGCAGCGCACAAGTTTCGTTACCTGAACTTAGCTCCTTTGGTTTCAGCTTCAGTGAAAGAGCCTCGAGAGTGCAGTAAACTTTGTGTCGATCACTCATCGTGTTTCTCAACAAATCTGGCAGCATTTCGTGATCAAAACGGAAAGGTGATGTGCGAGCTGTTACCAAGTGATAAATACAACAATTCTAACAAGTTTATAAGCCACCAAACGTTTCATCACCTGAGCATAAAGATAAGAAAAGAAGTGCTTTAAAACTGTTGTTTAGTGTTAGATAACTGATGTTTTGAAAAGAAAAACAACAGAGAAAGAAACAAATGTAAAGAATCAAGCTTTTTTCTCACTCAGAGACTCCATATAAGTATTCGAAAATGTCTTCTACCATTGTTACCATTTTTGTTCATTTCGCACTCGCATCAAACGACAAAATCCCTTAACGAAGAACACCAAATTAATTTTAAGTGGTTTTATTCTGTAACTGTTCTTGAATACAACAAAGAAAATTAAAAACTTAGCGATTCACATGACAGGTGAATCAAAATTTGCGTGTCGATCTGTGCATACACTATACTTCAGAGAGAGACCCTAGAACTACTATACGGGGTGGTGAAACAACAACAAAATGGATTGTCACCAGTCAGGTCGTGACTCCCAGTCACGTTAACAATAGTTTCCCTTTTTTGAGAAAAAAAGTGCGATCATTCAAGTATGGAGTTGACAACTAAGCCTGAGTTTCACTCAGGATGAAATCGTGGTATGTAACCCAGCATTAGTATTTCTTCTGGTGAAGCCTGTTCACTCATCTTTTCAGGCGTAGATCGCTATTTTTTGGCATGCTGATAAAAACTTCGGCCAAAGGTCGAATTTTGTGCTGATTGAGAGTTAAACAACGAACAAAATGACGCGGTATATAACTGAGTTTATTATACATTGAACTCACCATCTCTTTTCTGATTGGTCGAAAGCGTACAGTGAATTTTCGAAATCAGCGCCTGCGACGTCATCTCTGCAGATTATACAATAATCATGTCAAGGACACTCAAGGTCACGGGTAATCATGTCAAGTTCGCGCGCTTTGTGTTGCTTGCCGTCAGCGAAGAAGCAAAAACATGACTTCCATTTTTTCGTACAATGTATAACAAAACAATTATTAGAACTGATTCGGATTTTGTGATATCCAGGATAATCAAGGTCTCGGTAAGTGTGATAACCCCTACCTCGACCTTGATTATACTGGATATCACAAAAACCTCATCCAATAATTGTTTATAATCAGTTCAGGAATCAGAGAGGAAATGAACGCTCGTAATAAGCAATAACTATCTCAGCATTGAAATGTATCTTTACAACACAGACACCTTGCTACAGCAACTCTTGTAAGAATCAAGCAACTTGCGTAGCCAAGTACGAAGACCACGCTTATCAGTGCGTATGCGCCCTTGGATACTCTGGAAAACACTGTGAAATAGATATTTTACATTGTACACGTTAAGAAAGGTAGCATCGACAGCAGTGACAGTGGTTGTAGCGCCGGGTAAATAGTGGTAGTGGTTAGCGGTAACGTGGTAATGGTAGAGTAGTGGTAGTGGTAGTGGTAGCGGTAGCGGTAGTGATAGTGGTAGTGGTAGTGGTAGTGGTGATGGTAATGACAGTGGCAGTGGCAGTAGCGCTAGTAGAGGCAGCTGTTAGTGGAAGCGTGGTAGTGGTAAAGCAGTGGTAATGATAGTGGCAGTGGAAGTAGTAATAGTAGTGGTGATAGCAATGAGAGTGGTGTGGTAGTGATTGTTTTGGCTTCTGCTGTGAAGCAAATTAGGAATAAAAGGTGTTACTAAAGAGTTGCTGTTGCGGCAGCACAACATTTTGATCCTTGTAACTGTTTAAACAGAGTTCACATATGCCTGTGTAAAATGTCGTGTTGCATTTAGATCGGCTAGGTTCGGATGCTTGAATTTCTTCATATTCCATCAGCATAATTCATGTAAAATTATTGTCATTTTTCTTGTAGCTCCTGCTTATTCGTGTAACGAAATAATCTCTAAGACAGACGGGGAATACTGGATCAACCCTGAGAAGAGTGGACAGTCTTTAAAGGTCTTCTGTGACACGACAACTGACGGAGGTAAGTAACAAACATGGCTCAGAGAAAAAGAGAAAGCAAACACTCCACAAAACTATCAATTTAAAAAAAAAAAAAAAGAAAAAAAAAAAAACATCGTGCGTTTAAGAATTTATTTAGTACCATCACGCATCTTAAAGTATTTCCAACGAGGATTCGAAGTCGTGGTGTTTGAAAATGACAAGTACATTCACCTCTGCTTTATCGTGATTTTGCTTTATTTTTAAAGACTTCCTACCTTTTTATATATTTACGTTCTTTTTTGAGTGATAATCTTCCTTTACCAGCTGATGATCATGATCATTAATTTTTACCTGATCTCAGGAGGTTGGCTGCTTGTCTCCAACGTTGTGATTGACGAGTCATCCTCATCACTTCAGTTGTCACTCGAGACAACATACCGAGGAATTAGCAACTATCACAACAATAAAACGTTTCTAACGACAAGTGCCATGCATGAGCTGAGAACACACTTGGCATTCACTCAACTGAGATTCTACTGCAGTAAGCTGCAGGGCACGCGTACTTTCCATGTGACCACGGTCACTGACAGCATTGGTCAAGCAGTGGTCGAGTATTTCAGCGGTCAGACGGATGTCCAGCCCATCGCTTGCGGGTCGTTTGTTACAATGGAGAATGACAACTCGAGATTAGCAGGACAATGTCATCTTTGGGGGAGAGAAAATGGTGTGCTTCGAGTTGGAAAATGGGGTCATGGCGAAGATCAAGACAGACTATTTCGCTTCACAATTTTTAATCATGCCAATTACTACTGGCTGTTTCTTCCCGATGGCTCAAAAGTTCGCTGTGACGACCTCAGCGATGCTGTGTCTGCTGGGGATTTTTGGAAAGTCTTTGTTCGTTAAGGACTTTAAAAAAATGACTGCTTATAGTCCTTGGCGTTTTTCTGTGGGGAAGTAAACAGGTCGGAAATGGACATGATTTTCTACGGGAATTGAGTGTCAAATATACAACTTCCTATACTGTTGATTATATGTTATACCTTACCAACAAAAACCTCTAATCAGATGTCAGATACTCTTATCCATTTCATGTAGTTGTAAGTCAGTTAATAGATCGGGAATAGCAGGGATTCAGTAGTGGTGGCATGAATAAATAAGGATTCTTGGCCCAGAAGGGGAACTCATACAACTGAGGTGCTCCTCGGAACTTATGAGAAAAACCCCTAAGAGGTACCAAGATGCTGTTTTGTGAGCGTGGCTTGAAATTTTTTCCGCCCATGAGAGGCACCAATTCTCCCAGTGAAACAACACATTATCTCCTGTCATATTTTTTTCGGCTCAATACCCTAAAAGGTACCTTTTTGAGGATGAGCACCCTAAGAGTTACCAAAACCACTTTTTAACCCCTAAATGGTACGACGAGCGTCCCCAATTGGACAACAACAAGAAACACACGGAATCATGTCAATCAAAAAAGTGCTTTTTATTTTTCCCTGCCCGGTTATACAAAATGATCTCTACGAGGTAATATTCCCTTAATTATCACAGATGTGAGATGCTTTATTTATTTATCGTTATTTTGGAGAATATCCTTAACAATAAGAATCACATTTAAAACGAAAACTTTTCTCTCCTGATTTTGTGTCGATGTGTTAAAAACTTACATTAATACGCATATTCAAGCAATGTCAGAGCATTGACACTGGCTCAATTACATCTCAGCGCAGGCCGACACTAATAAGCCTGTTGCTGACTTCGTTTGGGTCATGAGCATTGACGTTGAATGCCACGCCCTTGTAACCGTTCTTATTGCTCGATGTACGAAAGTACGGTGAGATTTTATCATCGCACCAATTTTCACAGGTCTTGTAGCATTCACCTGTGTAACCGGAGATAAAGAAGCCAGAGTATTTCATCGTCGAGCTGCTTTTCTTATCGCAGATGAGCAGCTGGTAAGAGAATGCCTCGTCTGCTCCCACGCTATCCCACAATCCATAGGTAACAGCAGCCTTCCCATAGTTCTCAGCAACCTTCACGGTCTGTCTGGTTTGTCGCTTGAAGTAGGTCTTGTTTCCGGTTTCGTGATCAATGAACATAATTTCTTTGAACTATAGGTAAAGAATACAATAGCTATTCATTAAAGAAATATTCATTTCCTGCTTGGAATGAGAACGTTATTACCCTACCTTTTTGTCACTGCGGTTGAAATCCTAGCGATTGCTATACGGACCAAGACGATATTAAAGGAATAAAAATAAACGATTTAGAAACTGAACTGCTGCAGTTCGCTGATGACGCAACTGTTGTCTTATCAGATTTAGATTTTGCGCGAGCTTTGTTTGTATTGCTAGGTTGTTTTGAGAAAGTCTCTGGGCTAAAACTTAACGTTGCGAAAACAGAAGCAACGTGGATCGGCTCTCTCCAAAACTATGAAGATGAACCACTTGGAGTCAAATAGAAAGGTTTTAGGCATTTTCATTACATATGATGTACAGATACTAGTCAAGAAAACTTTAAGCAAAGGCTGAAAAAAATCAGAAATATAATAAATTCATGGAAGTCAAGGGGTTTGTCAATTCATGACGAGGTTAATATTATAAAAGCAATAGTAGCGTAGCCAATCAGGCATTAGTAATAGAACGCTAGTAGACATACTAAAACTGGATAATACTCTCGGGCAGCTCAACATTTCTCTTACTTCAAATGGCTTTAATTAAATGTGAAAGGTACTACCAAGTATTGAACAGTAGGTATGCATTTCGAAGTACAAACTCACATTAGTTAAGTTGCACGAATACACATAAAGCAGAGAAAAGAAAAGCACAAATAACTCACAGAAATGTTGTTACAGTTGGTCCTGTAGCCGTCACTTCCATAAGGAAACTGAGTGCTGTATGTGACTTCAGTCTTGGGTTCGGCAGATTCATCAGTACTGTAACACATGGTCCATCCTCCATTGTATGACGTCATGTCACAGTAGGCCTGGAATGCGTTTGAACGGCTTCCTGCATCCGGGTACAACCAGTACAAGCCGTCACCCTCAGAACGACCTTGATTCCTTATATCTTGACAGTCAACCGGTGGTGCTAATAGCAAATCGGAGAAAAAAAATCACTGAGATTTGAAATCTGAGCCTGTCTAACTCACTAATTCATGCAGCACAGACGTTTCTGGACAAGTTAAGAAGATATAAGTTAACAAGAAACCACTTGAAAAAAAATAGTTATAAATACCTATTTCACAGTGTTTTCCAGCAAATACTGGTGGGCATGCACAGTGATAGTCATTGTTCTCGTACTTGGCCACACAAGTTCCTTGGTTCAAACAAGGATCGCTGGAGCAAGGGCTCTGTTTCAACATAAAAAAAAAA